GAGACATGGTTGGGTTATATGTAGAATTTAAGGATGAAGGAGTGAGTTAGGAAAGAATAGTAAGAGGACTTGACAGTAAACTGACTATGAAAGAGACAGATAACACTCAGATGTTACCTCAGGGCAACTGGATAGATGGGAAGCTTTTCACAGATTCGTAGTACTTTCATCTTCTACCTTTGCTCGATTTGCTCGAGCGGGCCCAGTAACGTCTCCATTGGAGACTTTGTTGTTACTGTGTCTGGCATATCGAATCTTCTACCTTAATTATGGATAATTGAAATGCTGATATAAATTGAAAATTTTCACACTAAAATACCGCTTCATAAATGAGCATAGCTGTGGCTTTTCACTCTCCATAAGTCAAAGAAAAAAATCTTAATGCTTTATTGATTTGCTCTTTGGAGATCGACTGGACCTCCTGAGGCAAGGCCCCTGTGGTATGACCCTACAGGCTGGCTTGGTGTGCTTTTAGGTTTGCAGAAATATAGTAACACTGAACATTTTTTAGCAGATTTGTGTCTGAATGGCTCATCCACAGTTCTGCAGTCAGAGAATCCAAGAAGCAGCTCTTTTAACACCAGTATGCAATTCAGTTTTGCTAATTTTGTCAACTTTGGTAGCAAAGCGCTTTGATTTTGAATTATGTCATAGGGTTGTGGAACAGGTGAGGGTGAGGCTTAAAATACCCTCAGTGCTGAGAGCTGCGTTGGCACTCTAAAAAGTAAAAGCTGGGGCCTGAAGTGATAGTATAGCAGGTGAGGCATTTGCCTTGCACACAGCCCACCCAGGTTCAGTCTCTGGCATCCCACATGGTTCCCCGAATACTGCCAGGAATATTTCCTGAGTTCAGACCCAGGGTTAACCTCTGGACATTCCCTGGTATGGTCCCACCTGCCTCACCCCCCAAAAAATACCAAAAAGAAGTAAAGCTGTGTTTTCTTTTGCCTAGTTATGGGTTGGAAGGTAGGATTGAATTGATGTTGACTGAACTTCGAGCTCTGACTAACCCACTCATCATTGCTCTTTCAGAAACATGCTTTTGATAAAGATATGCTTGGTCATTTTTGTGTAGTTGTTTTGTGTAATGAGTGGCAGGAAAATTAGAGTGTTCATTGTGACCCAGTTTCTGTGTTTAAGGCTGGCTTCCACACAGAATTCCAAATGGTGCATCAATATCTTTAAATCTTAAAAAGAAGGGAATTTGAGACACCTCGATCCTATTCCAATGTTCTTTATTACAAAATTTCTCTGGTGAGAGGCTCCTGTTGCCATCTTCTGACCTTTTTCATTTTCAGTTCAGTTGCCTTTTATTCTCTGGCTTTCACTCCCGCCTCCATGGGACAGATTTTCAAGCAGGATGAACTTGCACAAATTCTCCAGTGAGCCCACTGCTCTTTACTTTTGTTCCATAACAGTAACTGGTGCACTGTAGATCTGGTTTATTTCTTTTCCCCCTTTCCCCCTGCTGTTGTTGCTCCAATGCCGGGGGTTGCACACACGCTTGGTTGTAGTACTCACAATTTGATTGGGATGCCCTCCAGGGGTGTACCCCTTCAGTGGTGGTGTTCACACACAACTGACTGCTAGGAAGCCAGAAATCAATTTGGTGCTGGGATCACAGAGACAGAAGCACTGCCAGGCACTAATCTGGCACGACTTTGCTCATGCATTCAGCAGGTCCAGGGGATTCAACCTGCATCTTATTCTTGCACTGCGCCATCTCTTAGGCCCCTGGTTTATTTCTTTATGGTCTCTCTTCTTCCTGGAGAATTTAAGTCCTTGAACACAGAGATTTTGTGCGTGCATGTGTGTGTGTGTGTGTGTGTGTGTGTGTGTGTGTGTGTGTGAGTGTCTCTGTGTGTGTGTGTGTGTGTGTTTGGGCCACACCTGGCAAAGCTCAGGGCTTACTCCTGGCTCTGCACTTAGGAATCACTCCTGGCAGTGCTCAGTGGACCATATGGGATGCAGGGGACTGAACTCAGGTCAGCTGCATGCAAGACAAATGCCCTACCCACTGTACTATCACCCAGGCCCTACAGAGACTTTTTGCTTGCTAGTTTATTACCAAACTAGCACATGACAATACAACCTAGCACATTGTTGGTACTTAATAAATATTTGTTTAGCTGGATAATGTTATTAAAGTGCCCTCTCTCCTTAGGCCAAATGGACATAACGTTGCTAATCTCTTGATTACCCAGAGTATTAAGGCAAATGATGTAAATAAATATTTGCATCCACAGCCTGGCAAGTAAGGCCTTTTGTATTGGAAGATTTTTCTCAATATTCTTACTTCTTTAAGCTTTTTCCTATTCAGTAGAGTGGTAATCTGTTAACTTTTTATGTAGTAAATGCTTTTTTTCCTATAAGCATTTATCATTTCTTCATGACTTGTCTGTTTACTCTCTCCTAACTGGCAAACTCTAGAGACCTGTTCAGGGAACCTGAATAAGGAAGTCCCCTTTTATATTTCTTTAAGCTGGGATTTTTTCATAGTTTCATGAAATTGCCACTAATTATCATCATATAATTCCTATATGGCATTTTGTATATATTTATAGAATTCACATTATTTTAAATGCGTATAATTAACCATAATTAGTATTACTCGTCTAATGTTCTTCACATTAACAATTATTCATACAAGATAGCTGTTGTTATTATCTTTACTTTGTAAATGAGAAAATTGAGACTTAGAGAAGTTAATCTTACCTAATGGTATAATCCAGGAAGTGGTGGACACATATGGCTCCCTTGTGGACCCCTGCGATATTTCAAGGGTGCCAGAGCTAAAAATCTGCATAATTGAGGGGAGAAAAAACATGAGATTAGAAGCCAATCTGTAGAATGGGGCTAGAAGTGGAGACAAGGCAGAAGGGGTTATAGCTGGAAAAAGATTGAGAATTACTGTTCTCAAGTAGAGGTTCTTAACCCAAATCCCGTGGACAGTTTTCAAACTCTTAATGTCGCATCAGAATTTCACAATTATTCAGATTGTTCATCAGAATAATTCAAGGAAATTTTGAAATGTGTCAAGGTGATTCTAATGTACACTGAACTTTGAGTACCCCTTTTTTAAGCAAGCTCCATTCAGGATTGTTGATTTTTTAATTATTTTTTCTTTTTGGGGGGTTACACCCAGCGATGCTCAGGGCTCTGCACTCAGGAATCACTCCTGGCAGTGCTCAGGGGACCATATGGCATTCTGGGAATCGAACCTTAGTTGGCCGTGTGCAAGGCAAATGCCCTACCCGCTGTGCTATTGCTCCAGCTCCTGATCCTGTCTTTAAGATTTCACTGAACAGTGAATCTCCTAAAGGTCTAAACTCTGCTTCCTGATTAATCTCTCTCCAACACTGTACCAGACACATGGGAGCTTTCAGATGGTTATTAAGCTTAAACCACCTTCAATACTTTGACCACAGTTCTCCAGTTTGACATCCTAAAAGATCACGTGAATATATCTGCATGATTACTTCGAGATATCACTAATTTGAACTCTTTCAAACAAAGCATTTCTGCTTTTGGAAGGAAGGGGAGGGGAGGTTTTCGGAGCAGAACTGAGATCCAGGGGGGCACTCCCGGCAATTCTCAGCCAACCCGGCATGCAGTTCAGTGTAAGAATATGAGGGTTTGGTGCAGTTTGGGATTAACTGGGCCATCCCAGCAGTGCTCAGGACCCTTCAAAGTCATACCTGGCAGTTCAGGAGAGAGATCCTAGTTTGTTCATTCCTGATAAACATCAGTGTGATGTTGACATTTTGTTTCACCATATCCTTTCTCAAGTAAATTGTTTGCACAGTTAGCCGTGCTTGTTGAAAGAATTCTTAGGAACAGAGTGAAGAGTGAGGTTTGTGGTGTTTCTAAATGTGCATTCTGACTTTTGACAATCATTAATCTTGTTGACATTCAGAAGATATATAAACTTTCTTTAGGATTCAAATTGTAGAATAATAACTATAAATAATTATGTCCCCAAATAAATCTTTTCATAAATGACTTAGTACTGACTAAATATATCATTAATTAAGGTAACAGGCCTTTTAGCAGGAGAATAACTAAAATTTACTATATTTGTATTACATAATAGCATGCATTCTGCTGCTGAAAAACTTGAATATTACATAATAGGTGCCTTGGATCCCAGCAGTTGACAAATCATGATTCAGAGCTTAGCAGTGGTATGGTTTTTTTTTTAACTAAATGTTTGAAAATTAACTAATGTTTCAGTGTGTATTTTTCTTGTTTTAGAATCTTTTTCTTCTAATGGGTATTATGTTGTAGCAAAACCCAGCTTCATCGTGTTACGCAGGAACTGCTGTAATATTTATTGTGTCAATTAAAAAGTATAGTGGACGTCAAAAATCTCTTCAGTGAACAAATTTTATCTTTTTGAGACAGCTTCAGAAGAGTTCACTCATGTGAAAACATTTTTTGAAATTATTTTCCAATTAAAAAATAATTTGTATTAGGCACTGAAAGTTTAACAATGTAAAAATGGACATAACTACTAATCTCTTTGGTGCTTACATTTCAGTACAGAAATGCAAATAGGTATATGTTCAGGTAGAAGCATCAAGCAGAACATCTGAAATCAGTGTGGTAGAGAATGAGGACGGGGGCCGTCTACTTAAGACAGGAAGGAATCACAGGAAGATGGCAAAGGAGCTCGTCTGAGGTGTTCTAAGAGGAGTCATCTTTGTGAAGATCGAAAAGGTGAAAATCAGAACAGGGAGCTACACTTTGTTCAAGAGACAGGAAAATCAAGAAGGCTGGGGTAGAGAGGACAAGGATGAGAGTGACGGAGGTGGGGTGAATGATGCTTGTGCTCAAACACAGCAGTGTTTGAAAGAAGTGTGGATTTTATCCTGCAGGCGTTGAGACACAATAGAGGACCCTTAATAAAGTAAAATCAGATTTGTAGTCGCCAGCTTCAAATGTGCTTTCTTGAAACATTTTCTTTTTAAAAAATGGAAAATTTTTCTTTTTGTTTCTAGAATAGACCAGAGGACTGCCATTTGTCCCAAGGATGCTCTTGAAACACGGCAGGACTTAAATGAGGTAGGTACACTCATTGCTGGTGATATCAATATTAGATAGTTGAGTCATGCAATTTACTCTTTTGCCTAGTGTCTACCATATCTCAGACTACAGCCAAGTTATGCAGTCATTCCAATATATTAGTTTCTGCCTGGCTTGTATAAACACGGCTATTGCAGCTATAGTTGTAAAATTTCCTTTTATTCTATCTTCATCTCTCTGTATGTTTTCAAATGGCATTGTAGTCTCAGAGATAATCATGTTTACTGTTTATCCATGAAGCATGACGCAGTTTGGTATTTGAAATGTGTTATTCTGGTATGTGTTGAGGTATTGAATCTGTGTTTTTCAAAACGATTTCCAACTAAAGTAGGTTTCATAAGGAATGACCATGCTCAGATTCCAGGCAGAGAAACAACAGGCTTCAGGCAAATTACAAGAGGAAATTATTTATATAATTATGTAATTATTTATGTGGTTTCCCCAATGGTTATCATTTCATTTTCTGGAATCTGATATGTATTTGTCTTATCCCTCACCCCAGAAAGGTATTGACCTGATTTTTCTTTCCTCTTTTACTGTAGTGCTTACCATAAACTATAGTCACAAATTATTTAGTCAAGTTGTAGAAATGCATGACCATGCAGCTAATGTTAACTAATGTTAACAACATAAAATACTGTTTATTATCTCAGTGCGTGTGCATGTGCATACCAAGACTGCTTTTAAAATTGCACAATCTTGCACATGCTAACTAGTGTGAAAAAGCATTGAGTAAAGATGTGAGAGCCAGCATTAATGAACATAGCTGTTTGCCCCACTGTGACTAAGCAAAATGCTAGTTATAAACAAGCACTGATTTGTTTTGACACGTGACTAGGGAAAAAAATGAGATAATTCTAAAGGTCAGTTTGTTATGGTTTTCTGGTATTTGGGAGACTTTTTGGTTTTTGAACCAGAAAACCATTGGAATGTGCTAATGTTATGAAACACGGGGGCTCAAACTGCTTGGGTGCACCTGGGTTCTGGGATACCGAAGAGAAAAACACATCTGAATAGTTAGGCAGCAGCATGTTTTAAATATGTTTTTTGCACACAAACATGGCTGGTAACAGTGTGTGCTCCAAATGGTTTTGACCCAATGGGGGGGTGAACTATAGAAAAAAATGTATGAACATTGCTATCACAGTTATATCTATAAAATTTTCTTATTCTATTTTCAATCCCTCTTTTTATCTATTTATGTATATTTTTTAAATTCTGTTTTCATGCCAAAATTTTTTTGCAGGTTTTTTCATAATAAAATTTGCTGGGGCTGGTCAGAAGAAAGCTCAAACTTGAATTAAGGGGAAAGCTCAAAGGGGTCCCAGACCTTTCAGGGAAAGGCTGTATTGAATCTCATTGCTGCATACATCCTGAAGATTGGGAATATCAGATCCTAAGAATACATTTTTCATTCAGTGTCATTTCCTTATAATGTCAAGGAGGAGGGGAAAAGAGATCAATTCTTGGTGTGCCCACTGTGTGAAATTTGCATGTTTTGTCATGTTTGTTTGGTATTCCCCAGGTATTATTTTTCTCCCAAACTTCAGATGTGCACATTAAATTTATCGGCATGTCCAGAGTGACAGCTTGTAGTGTGTGTGTGTGTGTGTGTGTGTGTGTGTGTGTGTGTGGTGTGGTGTGTGGTGTGTATACACATATACCATTAAAAGAAATCCTGGCCAGAGTTTGTCCCCCCACCTTTTTTTTTTTTGCATTTTGGGTCACACCTGACAATGCTTAGAGGTTACTCCTGACTCTGCACTCAGGAATTACTCCTGGCAGAGCTCAGAGGACCATATGCAACGCTGGGGATCGAACCCTCATTATACAAGGCAAGCACCCTACTCTTTGCTATTGCTCCGGTTCCTGTTCCCATTTTTGATTCTGTGTTGCTAGAATAGGCTCAGCCACCTGCAATTCTGAACTGAAATCAGTGGCTTGATTAGAAAATGAACAATATAAATAAATATAAATTATTTTAATTATGTTTTTGATGTTTATTAAAAGTTTGATGCTGCTGTGACCATAAATAATGCTTTTAACAAGAGGAAATTTACTCTTCTTTATGTCAATTAGCCTGTGGTTAAGATTAGTTTTATTATGTATTGTTGCAATTAATCTGTTTCCAAGACTCTGTGGACAATATTAGGTAAGGTCTCATGATGTTTTCAAACTTACTAAAACAGAATTATTTAAGGAATAAAGTAGGCTGGAGTGATAGCACAGCAGGTAGGGTGTTTGCCTTGCACACGGCTGACCAGGGTTTGATTCTTCTGCCCCTCTGGGAGACCGTGAGCTACTGAGAGTATCTCGCCCATATGGCTAAGTCTGGCAGGCTAAGTGTGACGTATATGATATGCCCAAAACCGTAACAACAAGTCTTACAATTTGTTGTGAGACGTTACATGTGCCTGCTCGAGCAAATTGATGAACAATGAGAGGACAGTGCTATAAGATATACACTTAGGCCTATGGAACACAAGTGGGAAACATTGCTTCAGGATTTTTTTTTTTCTATTTCTGGTTATGAATAACATGATGTTGAGTGGCTGCAGTAGGGCTACGTGATTTTGAAATTCCAAAATTTTTTTTTAAACACCATGAGGTACAGTTGTACATTCACATTTTTTTTGTGCTTGGGTTTAGATTATACAATGATCAGATACCCATCCCTCCACCAGTGCCCATTTTCCACCACCATGGATAATATCCCTCCCAGCCCCATCCCTCCCATCCCACCCTGCCCTTGTGTTCTCTCTCTCCTTTTGGGTGTTGTGGTCTGCAAAAGAGGCTTTGAGTGGCAAACATGTTCAGTCCATAGTCTACTTTCAACATGCATCTTCCCTCCTGGGAGGATCCTCCAAACATCCTTTATTTGGTGCTCCCTTCTCTATCTGAGCTGCCCTTTCCCCTAGAATGCCTGGCTGGCCTCTAAGCCATGGAGTAATCCTCCTGGTGCTGATCTCAGCTATTCTTGGGTATTAATCTCATATTTTGTTACTTTATATTCCCCAGATGAATGCAATCTTTCTATGTCTATCCCTCTCTTTCTGACTCATTTCGCTTAGCATGATGTTTTCCATGTTGTACCACTTGTACATAAATTTCATGACTTCAACTTTTCTAACAGCTACATAGTACTCCATTGTGTAGATGTACCAAAGTTTCTTTAACCAGTCATCTGTTCTTGGGCATTCAGGTTTCTTTCAGTTTCTGGCTATTGTAAAGAGTGCTGCAATGAACAAACAAGTGCAGATGTCACTTTGATTATACATTTTTGCCTCTCTGGGATATATTCCCAGGAGTGGTATTGCTGGGTCAAATGGGAGATCAATTTCTAATTTTTTGAGCATCATCCATACTGTTTTCCAGAAGGGCTGAACCAGTCGACATTCCCACCAACAGTGAAGGAGTGTCCCTTTCTCGCCACATCAGCGCCAGCATCGGTTGCTTTTGTTCTTTTGGATGTGGGCCAGTCTCAGAGGTGTGAGATGGTATCTCATTGTGGTTTTGATCTGCATCTCCCTGATGATTAAAGATGTAGAGCATTTTCTTATGTGCTTTTTTGCCATTTGAGTTTCTTCTTTGAGAAAGTTTCTGTACATTTCATTGCCCCATTTTTTGATGGGGTTGGATGTTTTCTTCTTGTAGAGTTCAACCAGTATTTCGTATATCCTTGATATCAACCCCTTGTCAGATGTGTATTCGGCGAATATCCTTTCCCACTCTGTAGACTGTCTTTGTATTTTGGTCACTGTTTCTTTGGAGGTGCATAAGCTTCTTAGTTTAAGATAGTCCCATTTATCTCTCTCTGTTTTCACTTGCTCAGCCAGTGGCATGGCATCTTTGAAGATACCATTAGCTTCAATGTCATGGAGAGAGTTTTGCCAACTTTATCTTCAATATACCTTATGGATTCTGGTCTGATGTTGAGGTCTTTAATCCATTTTGATCTTACTTTTGTACATGGTGTTAGGCAGAGTTCTGAGCCCACTTTTTTGCATGTAGCCGTCCAGTTCTGCCAGCAGACTTTGTTAAAGAGGCTTTCCTTACTCCATTTCACATTACTTGCACCTTTATCAAAGATTAGATGATCATATGATTGAGGGGAGATGTCAGTGTATTCAACCTTATTCCACTGGTCTGCAGTACTGCCTTTGTTGCAGTACGATGCTGTTTTGATTATTACTGCTTTGTAGTAGAGTTTGAAGTTAGGGAGGTTGATTCCTCCCATTTTCTTTTTCCCAAGAATTGCTTTAGCTATTCGTGGGGGCTTATTGTTCCATATAAATTTCAGGAGTGTTTGCTCCATTTCTTTGAAGAATGTCATGGGTATCCTTATAGGGATTGCATTGAATTTATACAATGCTTTCGGTAGTATTGCCATTTTGACAATGTTAAGTCTCCCAACCCATGAGCAGGGGATATCTTTCCATTTCCTCATGTCCTCTTTTATTTCCTGAAGTAGCGTTTTGTAGTTTTCTTTGTACAGGTCCTTTACTTCCTTAGTTAAGCTAATTCCTAGGTACTTGATTTTCTGGGGCACAATTGTGAACGGGATTGTTTTTTTCATGTTGCTTTCTTCTCTCTCACTGTTTGCGTATAGGAAAGCCATGGACTTTTGGGTATTGATTTTATAGCCTGCAACTTTAATATACGAGTCTATTGTTTCTAGGAGTTTTTTGGTGGAGGTTATTGGGTTCTCTAAGTAGAGTATCATATCATCTGCGAATAGTGAGAGCTTGATTTCTTCCTTTCCTACCTGAATGCCCTTAATATCTTTTTCTTGCCTAATCGCTATTGCAAGTACTTACAGTATTATATTGAACAACAGTGGAGAGACTGGGCATCCTTGTCTCATCCCTGATCTTAGAGGGAAGGCTCTCAGTTTTTCCCCATTGAGGATGATGCTTGCTGTAGGTTTGTGGTAGATGGCTTTAACTATTTTGAGGAAAGTCCCCTCTATACCCATTTTG